AAAAACAAATGGACATCGCGACTACTCACTTCTTTGGAGGATTTGACCTAAGCAATAAAATTTTATATTATATTTAAAACCATAATTTGAAACATACACAAAATTACGGCGAAAATCAAAAACAAAGTCAAAAGCCATAAGCCGGCGGGTTAGAAGATATCCCCGGAGATTAAGCCGAAGGACTGCCAAGTCTTTAGAGTCTAAACCGACAAATTACAAAATTTTCAGAATCCATAATTTGCCATTACACATAAAAATCTAGAAAAAAAAAGTTACCACATAAATTGGAGAACGGAAGAGACTTTCGTAAAACTACAAAGCTAACAAGTTGACATCTGAGGAGGGAAACCCCGTGAAACAAAGACCCACATACAATGAGATCAAATACTCCCTCTGTTTCAAAATATAAGTTATTTTACATAAAAGCACGAATATTAAGAAACTACTTTTCTACTAAAAAGTATCATTTAATATATTTATTAAATATAATTTGACTACAAAATACTGCAAAATACTAGTGGTCACACAATATTTAATAAAATTAAAAAATACATAGGATTGTCAAAACAACTTACATTTAAAAAAAAAAAGCCTCCAAAACAACTTACATTTTGAAATAGAAAGAGTATATATTTAATTTGTTTGGACATATTTTTTCATACTTCCTAGTACTTTTCCAACTCCCCTTGCATACTATGTTGTTGTAATAGAGTGCAAACTAAAGCCATTGGGCCTTAAACGAAATAAGCCCAACACAGACCCGGAGACTAATCCAACCCACTCGTGGAAGCTAAACCGAAAAGCGAAACTAAACCAACTGAATCGAAGAGCTTATGATTTCAATCGATCTATTCTCTCTCCTGAAAAATCGATTTGAAACTCAATGCGAAACACGAAAAAGAAAAAAATAAACCGAAATTCAAAACAATGGGACGAGGATATTCTTGCTAGATTTATCGATCCATTGGATATTCACCTTATACGGAAAGTTCATATCCCCAACACACCCATTGTTGATGATCACCTATGTAGCTACACTAATCATGGCGCAATATAAGGGCTAATCGATTTTGTATTCGATGTTGTGTTAAAGAAGAAACAAGCAACCATGTTTTCATTAATTGTCCTTATGCAGAAACAGTTTAGAGATTGAGTGGAATTCAAACTGCAACAATCTGCAATCCGAATTTCTCTCTAGAAGAAAAGTTACGGTATTTAATCTCTCTCCATAATCCGAACACTACCTTTTACCGTTCTTTGGCGTTTATGGAAAAGCATAAAAAATGATCTTCTTTTCAACAAGGTTACGGTTTCACAAGCAGATAAGCACTGTCCGACTCGAAAGAATGGATTCACGTCAATCCAAATCAGATTGCACCAAATACCGATATCATACTTCACGTTAACTGTTGGAGGAAGAAATGGAGTCGACCATCTCGTGATTCGGTTAAATGTAACTATGATGTATCACATCATGTGGGAGATTGTGAATGAGGTTTGGGATAGGTCATCCGAGACTCCAATGGAACGTTTCTTCATTGTGGAATGGGAATTTTAATTTCAAGGACGATACACAATCGAAGAGGCTGAAATCTCGGTACTTCTATGGGCAATACAGGCGACATGGGCTTTGGCTTATACAAGGGTTGAATTTGAAGGTGACAATTTCACTATCACGAGTCTCATCAATCAACAGAATTTGAATATCCGGCTTCAACATCAGTTGAACGATATCAAGTCAAGCTTTCACTCCATAAAGTTCTTGCATACATATCGGGAATCAAACAATGTATCTGATAAGTTAGCTAGGAAAGCATTCACATATGAACCCTTATGGTCTTTATTTCATTGTTGTCCAAGGGTTTTAAGATTTTTTTTGTAAGTGACATATAAACATTTGAAGTAATAAAGACTTGTAGACGGAAAAAAAAACGAAAAATAAACCTTTAAAAAGGAAAAAAATTCCAAACAAGAATGAGAATGAGACATTTGTCTCTTCGTAAGTCCACTTGGTGCAACTTGCAAGTCAAGCAACGAGTTGAATTTATTAGGGCTAAGAGATGTTGAAATCAAGTACGGAATAGAGACGTGTAATTTAGAAAATCGAAAATGTGTTGAACGAATCAAATCAGAAAAGGGAAAATTATATTGATTTTTTGTTTTTGGTCAATTAAAATAGTATTGATTTAAGTTCAATTTTTCTACCATTAATAAATTGGTAATTGACTCAACCGGTATGTACTTATAGACTTTTGATAAAAAATCTCTGTTCAACTTTCCACGCTAATATTGTAGGAAAAAAAACAATCTTTTATATATTATTTGGAAAATAATTTTATTGTAACGTGGTTTAGAAAAAAATATGACATGACAAATGTAAATCAAAAGAAAATTTTTTTAAAAATCTTCTGCAATTTAATTTATATATTTTTCATAAATAAATCAGAAAAAATTATAGAACTTGACGGTTTACGAGATTTAATTTAAAGTCATCTCCATCACCAAGAGCCTTGTTGAGTCTCTCACTTA